TTATTTAGGATATCTGGTCGGCATGGACAAGTTGGACCGAAAGGTCTGTGATACATCTTTATGATTCTATGACACTAAGCCCCCAGATGTTGGTAAGGAGTGCTCTGCAGTATTGACCAGGCTATCTTTTCTGTCATCATTTTCGGAGCCTAGATTGATGCCAAATAGTTGGTCCCATTTCATTCTTTTATTTAAACTTTGTAGACATTGTATACAACACAGTGGATTGCTAAATACTTCAGAGGACAGTGAAATGTGAACCACATTGTCGTGGATCTGCAGTCACATTTAGGCCAGTCTGGACAAGACTGGCAGACTTCCTTCCTAAAGGACATGAGTGGACCAGATGGGTTTTTACAATAATTGACACTCATGGTCTCCATCAGGATAGCTTTCAGTAAAACCTTTTTTATCAATTCAAATTTTTTCATCTGTTATAGTTGGATTTGAATCCATGTACCTAGATCATTAGGGCTCTAGTTTACTAGTCCAGTGAGATTATCACAGTTCCACTGCATCCCTCATGTGTGCCTGAACCAAAACAGGACAGAAACTTTCAGATTTCATTGGTCTGGACATTGGAAAATTCAGACCACTCTAATCTACATGGTTTAATTTTGAGAATAGTTATCACTTGGACACTTTACCTTTTCTCTACCCTCCTAGTCCTGCCCCAACATAACATCCCATGTTTCTAAACACTTAAAATTGGACATTTTCCATAAGAAATTCAACGCACACTTCGTAAGGTTCCTAGAATCAGATGCACAAAAGTCAGTGTAATCAAATTGTCTTATAGATTGGAAGATCTTTCACCAACTTCTCTCCTTTACCTCATAACCTCATCTGTTACGATCACATGTAAGAATTTATACCATGTGTGTTGACTCATGTATTTGCTGCATAGAGAACACCGACTTATAGATGTGGTTGCGTTGTGGGACCGTCAATTTTCTGATAGCTTAATTCAGCTTTAATCAGGACACTCAAATTCAATGGTCCAAGTTGAACCAGTCTTTGTATATCATAACATTCCCAAGTAGACCGGTGAGCCTGACGTCAGTGGTGGGGATGCTGCTGGAGAAGATACTGAGGGATAGGATCTATTTACATTTGGAAGAAAATGGGCTTATTAGTGATAGGCAGCATGGTTTTGTGCAGGGAAGGTCATGTCTTACCAACTTGATAGAATTCTTTGAGGAAGTGACAAAGTTGATAGATGAGGGAAGGGCTGTGGATGTCATATACATGGACTTCAGTAAGGTGTTTGATAAGGTTCCCCACGGTAGGCTGATGGAGAAAGTGAAGTCGCATGGGGTCCAGGGTGTACTAGCTAGATGGATAGAGAACTGGCTGGGCAACAGGAGACAGAGAGTTGTAGTGGAAGGGAGTTTCTCAAAATGGAGAACTGTGACTACTGGTGTTCCACAGGGATCCGTGTTGGGACCACTGTTGTTTGTGATGTACATAAATGATCTGGAGGAAGGTATAGATGGTCTTATTAGCAAGTTTGCAGATGACACTAAGATTGGTGGAGTAGCAGATAGTGAAGGGGACTGTCGGAGAATGCAGCAGAATATTGATAGATTGGAGAGTTGACCGGAGAAATGGCAGATGCAGATCAATCCAGGCAAATGCAAGGTGATGCATTTTGGAAGATCCAATTCAAGAGCGAACTATACGGTAAATGGAAAAGCCCTGGGGAAAATTGATGCACAGAGAGATCTGGGTGTTCAGGTCCATTGTACCCTGAAGGTGGCAACGCAGGTCAATAGAGTGGTCAAGAAGGCATACGGCATGCTTTCATTCATCGGACGGGGTATTGAGTACAAGAGTTGGCAGGTCATGTTACAGTTGTATAAGACTTTGGTTCGACCACATTTGGAATACTGCGTACAGTTCTGGTCACCACATTACCAAAAGGATATAGATGCTTTGGAGAGGGTGCAGAGGAGGTTCACCAGGATGTTGCCTGGTATGGAGGGCACGAGCTATGAAGAGTGATTGAGTAGATTAGGATTATTTACATTAGAAAGACGGAGGTTGAGGGGGGACCTGATTGAGGTCTACAACATCATGAGAGGTATGGACAGGGTGGATAGCAAGAAGCTTTTTCCCAGAGTGGGGGACTCAATTACTAGGGGTCATGATTTCAAGGTGAGAGCAGAAAAGTTTATGGGAGACATGCATGGAAAGTTCTTTACACAGAGGGTGGTGGGTGCCTGGAATGCGTTGCCAACGGAGGTGGTAGAGGCAGGCACGAAAGCATCATTTAAGATTTATCTAGACAGATACATGAATGGGCAGGGAGCAGAGGGATACAGATCCTTGGAAAATAGGCGACAGGTTTAGATAGAGGATCTGGAACGGAGCAGGCTTGGAGGGCTGAAGGGCCTGTTCCTGTGCTGTAATTTTCTTTGTTCTTTGTCACTTGCTGAAATGAGACACTGTCATTGGCCTCATGTATCCTGAAATAACACAAGGGGATAATTCAGACAGGTCCCCACTTCTGTTGCTGATCCAATGACATACACTGACCAATGCTTTTTTGTGGATGTCAGATATCAGTACTATTGTGCCTGCCTGTATCATTGTCCAAGAATGAAGGATGTGGAGTAAAGAGTTAACTGTAATTTCACCCTAATAAAAGCTATTGAGCATGTGCATAAGGAGTTATTTCATAATAACATCACATGATACTGAAACCCAAGTGTGCAGTGTTTCAGGCATGTTCTCACTTATCATCTCTTGCATTTAATAAAGGGCTATTGATGTTCACTGATATGGGTGTGGATGATGACTTTCTTTCAGCATTCTGGGCCTGATCATACTATAAAGGGCTACCAGCTGGTGGGCTACTAGTTATTCAGTCCACTACTGAATCTTCAGAATGGTTAGTGGGAAAACTGTAGGTATAAAAGAAAATTGTAACTCAAGATACAGCTTCCAGCAGCTTAATGGAATAGTATGATGATAGATTGCAAGCTCCAGCAGTAGAGCAATATAATATCTACACGTTCTCCAGGGAAAAAGTTAGGGAAAGATGGGAGCATTGAGCCATTTGACAATTCGCCTGACACTTCAACAGAAAGAACAGAATTTACGAGTAATATACTAAGATTGTTTGTACCTGTTGGCCTCAGCAAGTGTTAAGAAGGAAAAGGTAGTGTGCATTTTACATACTTGTAAAAATGATCCTCAGGAATTCAATTTGAAAAGTTCCTCCTCTGGCCTCTGACTACAAAACAAGTCCAGTTGATGTAAAATGGAACACCCAAGGAGGGAAATTGTGAGAAATAACTTATGGACTAATACACCATTCACTAGACACAATACTATAAATGTTGGCATTCCTATTGTCTAGGACAAGGGACAACTTTGATTGAGGGTCCTAAATTTTTCTGTAAAAGCATCAAAAAGTCAAGGATACTGGTGTCATTTGAAATTGCTGAGTCCTGAAAGTCTAAAGGAACAGTTTATTGAACACATCAGATCTTGCTAGAAGGAATAAAGCTAGCTGAATACATTTGAGGCAATGGTGCGCTTTTGCATATTGCTGTGGAGTCTGCATCACATGCACTTTCCATAATTTGTACTAAATTATGAATGAAATTGAGGAAAAGCTGAAAGCAGAACTAGAAAACATGTAAGACCAAACACAAAATTGTTGTGCTCCGAGTTTTTATTTAAGTTTTCAAAAGGGCTAAATATCTACAAAAGTCTGCATTTAAATGTACCATTCATAGCTGCACCAACACAGACACATAATCATTAACTTAAAAAGTATATCATTGTTGCATGTAGAAGAAAAAAAATTCAAAAATATCAGATAAATCTTCCTTCCCTTCTTTAATCCTCAGTGATAAACATGCTCTGGATAGACTGGGCTCACCTCCTGCAGTGTACACTTGCAGCCCTTTGTCAAAGACTACAAGAAGGCCATGTGGTTAGACTCAAAATATTGAAGTCAGTTCATGGGGGATAACCCATGAGTGGGGAAACTAACAGGTGACGTGCAACACTGACTTTAGACCCATCTAATTTTACTCACCATTGGAGGCAGAAGTGTATAATGCTGGGAGGGCATTAAACTAGTATTCCACTTGATCTCATGGGTTTCTTTGAGTTATTTTCTGAAAAAAAATTCTTTTCCCTCCTTCCACGTATGTGATTCCACCTACTTGTTGCACTCAGTAACAGTACTGTGAACATGCAATGTATTAATACTCTGTTCATTAATCAAAAGAGAGGCATTAATTCATTTACTATGAAGATTTTCTGCTTTTGATAAACTATTGTCCATCCTAGGTGTCATAATACTATTTCTTTTAGAGGTGAATTTTAACCTGTATTTTTATGAAGAAAGGTTGAGACAGAGGTACCAAGCAGTCTGTTCCAAATCCAATAAACAGCTTGTCAGGCCTTGATTTTTTTTTAAAGTTGGAATAATAGAAGCAACCTGACCGGGTGGGGTCAAGCTCCCACAGAACTAGTGTATTTTTTTTAGTTTTAGCTTTCAGTAGCAGTTGCTGGGGTCTTGAAGCTGGATGTGGAAGCTCTTATTCCTCTCTGTTACAGCTAAAAGCTGGGATTCTCTTCCTGCTGCTAGAATTGCATGTGAGACAATCTATTCTACTGGATTTCCTTTTGCCAAGTGTATGTTTATGGGACGTTACTATATTTGAAGAGTTAGTTAGTAGTAATCAATATATATTACTTTGTTAAGCATTTCAATAGAGTTATAGTTAAGCCAATTTTTTTTCTGCTTACTTTGTGTGTAATCTAATTATACTGTATGAATAAAGTATGTCTTGTTTCAAGCCTGGCGGTTTAACCAATTGAATTGCATTCAGAACACAACACCATATGCTTTACCTTTAACATAAGAAAATGTTAGGGTCTAGATTATCTCCTTAATATATTTCGAGGGGGTCTGGTCTGGTCTGTTACACTAGATCTCCAGAAATGCACACAGAGATTGCAAACATGTTACATGTGTATTGTATTGAACATTTTATTCTCAACAAAATATTACAAGGAAATATTTTAAACGGAGGTAACCCCAGCATCTCAATATTAACACAGGCACTGAACTAGTGTACAGATTCACATGGTTGACATATAGCTTAAGCTATCAAAGAGGGTCTATGAGGAAGAACTTTTGATACACAAGCCAATAGGTCATACAGGAATTAATGGACTGGGAAACTTTCATGTCAATTGCCCATCAGGCTCCACTTCAATGATGCTCGTAGTTGGAAATGTGAATCCATAACTTTTGCAGTTTCGACTACAACTAAGAATCAATGCATTTTTAATCAAGAAAACTTGAAGTTATTCCAATGTAAAGCAATGAGATACTTTTACAAAAATAACAGCATAAAAAGACAGTAAGTGCAACTTGTTTCTGTCTCTGTCTGAGAGTAGTTGGTTTCTAAATAACATTGCATTAATAAATTGTACAGATGTAGACTTCAGGCATTTCTTTCCCCCTGAATCCCCTCCAATACATCTAAGAAAAGTGTCAGCTTATCTGCTGCAAGAGAAATGTCATTGGGAGTATGCTGTTTAGCAGCTGTGCAGTAATATCTTAAAACAGGAACATTCTCAGCATGAAGACACCAAGATTGGTCTGTCTGTCATAAAAGAAATTCCAACAACAATGTAATTACCCAAGAGCACATTCAAAATTCAATCATTATGTCCTCTTATGACTTTGTGCAATTTGTTCAAATCAAAGCTAAACTTAGCCGAGATCACCTCAGAGGCAATAACTTTAAACTCTAAACTGACAGATATGATGGTTGTTAAGGTTTCTCGGTGCCTCTGTAATCATTCCTTTCTGTGGCACAGCCCGTGGGTACAGGGCTCCATTACTGTGTCTGGCTCATGAGACTACTTTGCTGGTACACTGAGAATGCCAAGGGGCTATCTGACTATGATGGGCATCATAGCAGAATGCTACTTTTACCTTCATCCACAGACAGAGGTTACCGGGGATAGTGACGTGGGAATGTGAATCCTGGTTGATCTTCTCCTCTTCAGCCAGGGGCACAGCAACACCCTTCCTCTTGCACGAGCTCAGCATTGTTCAATCAAATTATAAGCTTGGCTTATTCGCTGTCACTACCAATTCAGGCAGTTGGGGATCTTCCGGGAAATTCTCAGGTTGTCTTTTTGCACAAGGGTGCTTGTTTAATCTAAACTGCAAAATACAATGGGTTCAATTCCAAGTGCTGATATTTTGTTAGTGACCATCCAAAAGGATTTCACCTTTACCATAATACACAGCTGTATACATTCAATGCCAACAGCAGTTTAATTTTAGCTCAAAATCCCCCCACAGGAATGTCCGTTCAGTAGATTCCAGATTAAATTTTCCATGAGCCATTTCATGCCATGCCCTTAGGTTGCTTTTTATTCTAAATTTATAAACATTGAAAGGAATCTAGCAGAATCTCTCCACAATATTGGATAAAGGGACTGTACAAATGTTTTTTATCCTCATCCAATATAAAATCTTGCAGTCTTAAATTGACAGGTTCTGAAGGGTTCTTTTTTAGGTCCTCATATTTGAATAATAAAAGACAGCTATAAACTGGTGCTAAACACTTAACATCCAAATCTTTCATTTCCACTCTTAAGTGGAAGGGAAAGGGAATCATTACTTTCCCAGAGATCAATTAGTGGAACAGGATTTCTGTGTATTAACACCCATTGCATGCTTAATCCACACAAACACTTCCAATATTTTCTGTTATCTATCCGGCAGTGATCTACAACTGGATATCGTCAGTTTTACAAATGTAAACCTACATCTAACAACTATTTATACAGAAGTATTTCTTTTTGAGCAGTCAGAGTGGGGTGTAGCAGTGTTTTATGGACAAGGCGAATGCTGAGATTGAGCATTTTATATTAAAAATGGGTCATTTCTATGGATGGTAAAGTGTTTCACTCAGAGGGGCATTGCAAAAAATGAACTAATAACACAAACCTCACCGCTGTCTCACAAATGAATCTTGTAGAGATTTTAAAGAATACTTTATTTTTCCGTCTTTATGTTCTATGTTTTGGTTTATCTTTCTGCATTTTAAGATGGCGCCAGAGCATGGCGACACTATATAACACGTTTCAATGTATTCTGTAACAAAATACTTATGACAATAAATAAATCAAAGAATGCCCACTCTGTGGAACCGCTTCCCTCATAGAAACTGGTTACAATATCATAGTTAGATCTGCTTCCTATGCATTAGCTGACTAAACTTCCTTAGCTTTAATGCGTATTGTGCATGAAAACCATGTTCCAGGGAAAGACCATCACATTTTCTTGGTGCTTTTGTAACAGGATATGCAGGACAGCTTGGCCTGCTCCAGCTCAAAGGATTTTCCCAACAGTGGCTGCTCACATTCCATGCAGCAGAAATGTTTCTTGTGCCATGTCAGTCCCCCGCTTTCTATGTAGTCTTCTGAGAAAATCAACTGTAATAGAGAGATCATGTTCAATACAGGATTTTATTTCCTCAAAGCAATTCTCATTCAGATCTCCATCAGTCCCATTCCAGATACTTGTATACCAACTGGGGCCATCACTTAAGTGGACTACATTCAACCATGCAACATACCAAAAGCACCATGAGAAGCTTCTAGATTCTGGGCCCAAATACTGGAGTACGACTTGAAGTCATGATCTTCTGACTCAGAATCATACATAGATTACCAACTCAGATAAACGCATAATTCCATGACCACCAAAATATAAAGAAAATGCAAAATGGTACCCATAATCCATAATCCCATTCCAGGCAGATACACCCCACTGGGTTATATATGGTTTTGATATTAAATGTCAGTTCAAGGCTTATGGAATGTGTTGCCTTTCTAAATATAACGTTAAGTTCAGATTTGAAGGTAAATGTCATAATTATTTGTAAAATTAGCCTTTATACAGATTTCTAACTTGGGTGTGGGCAGGTTAATTCCAAAGAACAGCCGGAGTGCTGATTATTGTTCAAATCTGTACATTAGGAATAGATTCAGATTTTGGTGTCATCGCTGGGCATGATTGTGAAACTTAGACAGAACCAATAATCCTGATGTCTTACATTATACGTTTGGAAACAAAGTTCAGTTTATAAAACAATGCTGCTGATGGTTTTTCTGACAGCATTATTGTGTGGAAAACATTGGCAGCTAATAATGATCTCTGAAGATCATAAAGGGTCCTTTATAAAGGAGAAATTTTATGCCAGACTGTAAATAGTAGCCACAAATCAACCTGCACTCAAGACCACAAGCAGCAATGAAGGTCTGGATCCTATGGACTCCCTATTCTTATGTAAGAGGATTGCATATGTAGTAATACCCCAATATGAGATACAAGATGCATGTTCAAAGCAAATAAACAGAGTGTTATGTTGACATCCCTATAACACACAACTTTATCGAAATGTGACATCCTCCCCATTGTACGATATAAATAGCGCATAAAAGATTGAGAATTTAATGAATTTAACATGACAACATATGGTCAATGGCCATTTAAACAAAATGTAGACTGCAACAGATTTTTCATTTTCATTCTTCACATTAAGGACAGCAATATCTTGTAAAGTAATACAATTATTTATATATACTTAAATGATTATTATTTGGCAATCTCTTTATTATCTTAAACTATTTTTAATTAAATGATTGTCTATAACGACGTAGATAATTATAATTAATTATTTTATTTCTATTATAATCACAACTTGGCATCTTCCATTATAATGATTTTTCAGTAAAGCAATTATCCATCTATCAATCTCAATCAGGAGGTGTGTTGAGCAAGTAGAGTGGGGAACAAATTTCAATAAAATGTGGAGCTGGAGGAGCGCAGCAGGCCAGACAGCATCTGAGGAGCAGGAAAGTTGACATTTTGGGTTGGGGCCCTTCATCAGGACGGGGTGGGGGGAGTGGGGGAGCTCAGAAATAAATAGAGGAGGGGGGGTGGGGCTAGGGGAAGGTAGCTGGGATGGTGATAGGTGGATGCAGGTAGGGGGTAGTAGAGATTGGTGAATGGGAAGGGTGGGGCAGATAAGTGAGAAGGGAGATGGACATGTTGTGTCAGGTCAAGGAGGCTGGGATGAGAGGGACAGCTGGACATGAGTTGAGACTGGGGGTGGGGAGATTTTGAAGCTGGTGAACCCTATGTTGAGGCTGTAAGCTCCTGAGGCGGAATACACGGTGTTGTTCCTCCAATTTACACGTGGCCTAATTGTGACAGTGGAGAAGGCCCAGGATGGACATGTCACCAAGGGAATAGGAAGGGGGTGTTGAAATGGCTGGCAACCGGAAGGTGTTGTTGATTGCAGCGTACAGAGTGCAGACGCTCCGTGAATCTGTCACCGAGTCTGCTCTTGATCTCTCCGATATAGAGGAGACCACATCGGGAGCAACGGATGCAATAGACCAGGTTAGACTACATACAGGTGAATCTCCGTCAGATATGGAATGACTGTTTGGGGCCTTGGACAGAGGTGAGATGGAAGGCGTAGGGGCAGCTTTAGCACTTCCTGTGCCTGCAGGGAAAGGTGCAGGGTGTGGTGGAAGGGTTGTCAGGGAGTGTGGAACAGACAAGGGAGTCATAGAGTAAGCGATCCCTACAGAAAGCAGATAGGCGTAGGGAAGGAAATATCTTTTTGGTGGTGGGGTCTGACTGCAGGTGGCGAAAATGGCAGAGGCTGAAGCGTTGGATTTGGAGATTGATGGGGTGGTATGTGAGAACCAGGGAGACTCTATCCTTACTGTCGTTGGGGGGAGAGCGTTTGAGGGCAGAAATGCGGGAAGTGCAGGAGATGCAGTTGAGGGCACTATGGATTATGGGAGAGGAGGAATTACGGTCCTTGAAGTCGGAGGACATCTGGGATGTCCAGGAGTGGAATGCTTCATGGGCCAGGGGAACTACAATTCTTTGCTTTGCTCGTGGATTTATACATCTCTGTCCAGCTTATAGTTTGTCCAAGTCTATTGGAAGTGCAGAAACATTGTGAAGCTGTAGCACAGTAATTTTATTCAGGATTGACTGTACTGTTGCAGCAGGAGCTCCAAGTGTAGGTAGCTGTCCTGCACATTGCTTTATTTTGCAAAATCCAGAGGAGCAGAATAAAGATTACAGGAGGCAATCACTGTTTCATTTGGACCCATCCAAAATAGTATCATTACAGCAGTTGCAGCAGTCCACTTGTACAGTTTAATTTGCAGCCATAAACCAACATGAAAGAATAAGTTGTGTGACCAAATCTTTTCTTGGCAGGGGCATAGGAAAGTGATGTGCTTATGTCTTTCTAAATGCGAGAGGCTTGCAAGATATTAAATAAAAACCAAAAGAACTGTGGATGCTGTAAATCAGGAACAAAACCTGGAAAAGCTCAGCAGGTCTTGGCAGCATCTGTGAAGAAAAAAATCAGAGTTAACGTTTTGGGTCCGGTGACTCTTCCTCAGAATTGGCAATCTTTGCCAATTACAAAAAACCTACCTCATCACAGGCAGCACAGCGGTACTTCTCACTCTCACAGAAATGGCGACCACACAGGAGCTTCCCACACTTCCAGAAGTAAATGAGATCCACCAGGGGTTCTCTGCACCAGGTACACAAAAAGCATGCTGGGTGCCAAAGCCTGTCATACCCTGCTCGCTCCCCATACACCACGGGGCTCTCACTGCTGACTGGCTGCTTGCAAAGCTCACAATGCTGAAACAAAGTACAGAAACCCAACTCATGAGTCACACAGCAATAATAACTCAAATAAACACTTCCATCAACAGAGTTTAATAGCGAGGTATGAAGATGCCTTCGGCAGATCCTCAACAATGTTCCCAACCACAGGAAGAAAGACAGGATAGGAATCTTAATTGTGCCAGAGTCATACATCAGCTTCCCGACAGTGAGATGAAAGTTGGGAATTAAGTTCTCAGAACTTTAAACGTTCAGTTTCCCAACAGCAAGCATGGGAAACGTTTTTGTAGGCATTTGGATATCATGCACGCTCAATGAAAGGCCCATTCACCAGAATTAAGCTATCCTTCAAAATTAAGTTCTCTGTAAGTAATCAGTCCATGCCTTCTGATTCTTGGCTGCATACATGCAGTGTACCATTGGTGAGGTATTGTACTCGTTGGACTCTGGAGTGAGTAGCCATTGCTTTGTTCTATGTGTGACGTGGTACTCAAAGAGGTGTTGATTGAGATTGGATGTGGGCAATCAAAAGCGATTACAGCAGGGAGGCAGGCTAAGGGAAGCAGACTGGGGTTGAGAGGCATAGTGTCCAAGGGAAATAGGGTAATCTCATTAAAAATGTGGTGTTCCTGTGACTGGGCAAAGGAAGGACCTTCTTGACAGGTGGTGGAGAAATGGTCCTAAAGAGTAGGGTTGGTGATGTTCCCGGTGGGGTCCTTAGGATTAAATTGCGGGTACTGGGCAGATGATAGAACAGTGACAGGGAGTGGGAGGTGGTAGAGTGAGAATCGTGTGGGCACCATCTGGACTATGCTAAGCAGAAGCCTCAGAGGTATGATACTGCAGTGAATGCGATCTGACAGATTGACAGATACATTCCCAGGCTGCAACTCCATAAATAATGCCCAACATTCAATCCTATACATGGCAAGATACTCAGAGATGTTACTGCTATTGCACAGTGGCATAATAAATGGTGCATCCACAGACCCGTAGCCACCAACTGAGAGGGAATGGAATGCAATGACTGAAAGGCACAATAATATTGTAGAAACTAGCAACATAATAAGAGGCAACATACTTGAATGCACTGTGATTAAACATATATTTTCAAATGAAGTTTATATATGTTCAGATGGCCTGTGCCACCGCTGTGCCTTTATAATGTCTGAAGCTTTCTTTTCCCACCAATACACCCAGGTCATTTCTCAACATCCATAGCTGAGGTGAAGGCAAGTACTGACTGCTGTATCCTGTTGACCAAGATGACATGAGCTGGTGTCCTCTGGTGAGCTGGGAGTTACAGGGATCCAAGCCTGTTGGTGCATCTACTTTGGCCTAACCTGTGGGAGGCACTGGGGGCACTGGAAGAGGGGAATTAGAGAGGCAGGGAACCTTTCGTGTATGGTGGAATAAAACTTCCATTATTGATGTGTCTCTTCCATGTGGACAACCTTGAACCCCATCAAGAAAAGGGGCACCTGAGGGATATCTAGAAGCCTTATCCCTCTCTTGCTTTGTGACACTATGCCCATGCCTAGCATAATGGAGTAAAGGTCCAAGTGCATGTGCAGCAGCCACTGCGTTCTCCAAGGTGTTATCTCCAAGACCGCCAAGTGCTCACATGTGATCTCTGGAACCTCTGCTTGATGTTCTTCTGCTTGACTCTACATCTCCAACAAGTCCCTTACAGCCAAGTCTACAGGCATAGAATTTCTCCGTCTTTAGCTTTGGGTTCAGCAGGAGCCCGTCTCCTCAGTTGTCACACCCTCCATCTCCCCTAATGCAAGGGGTAAATTTAAAATTAACTCCTGAACCATTGGTCAACTGAAACCCAAAGAGCTCTGATATGACGGTAATGCTCATCGACCTAAATAGTAGTGATCTTTCCTGAAATATGTCCATCGATACCAATTTGGCACTATATAGGGCTATTTCAAGAGGAAGTGCTTGTCCAGGCTGACTCTGCTATGGAACCCACCCTGTTTACACTGTAGGGTGAAATTTCCGAAACCCACAGGATGTAGGCAGATCCCAAATGTAGACCTATCCTCATGATTATGGAAAGTCTATGCAGGTCATCAATACCAATGTGGCAACATTCCCTGTGTGGGCAACTGGGGCCCAGCCCATAAATGACAGTTGTGTGTTGACTGAAGCATGTGTTTGTATATTTCAGGGTTAAAACATTAGAAAAGTACACCACCTTCAAGAACAAATTAGTTAAAGCTTTACTCTATTAATTTACAACTACAGCAATGAAACTCAGACTGATTCCCTATTCACATTTCCCAAACTGAGAATGGCATATTGTTTTATCTGTCTGGATTGTGAAGAACGGAGTTTGTGAATCTCTGCTGCCCCACAGTCTATACTTCTTTTGTATATTTTACCTTTCACTCAATTGCAGAGATCCATATTAATTACTCGAGGGTTAACAAAAAAGTGTTGGTTTTCCTACCACTGCTTCTGTTGCAATCATCATCATGGGAGATGAGATACATTACCGTGCAAGAGATTTACTTTATAAATGATTTAGGCCTACAGGTGGTTTTCAGCTGCCTATTTGTTCCTCACTGTTTGCCGTCTGGATTTAGCTGTCTGTCAAAATGGCCACTGACTAGTGACAGAGGGAAGACGCCAAAGGTGCGGGAGAGAGATGAGGAGAGAGCGAGAGACCAGGTGAAAATGAAAAACAAGTAAAACAGAAAACTGAAAAGTGGTGAAATAAATGAACAGTTTAACTACTTTGGTTGTGAGAGAACTGTAGGGCAGCACGCAGAAAATTCCCAGCTCTTTAACTAATATTACCAAGAGACAGTCAACGCTCACTGCAGGGTCGGACAGGTTGAATGTTGGACCTGTCTCAGCGAGAGGAAGGGCAGGACTAAAAAAGATGAGAGAAAGAAAGTAGAATTAACTGGGCCAACAAATTTATTAGATCTGCACTTTGTGATGTTTCTCTGATAGTCTTTGGAATCAGTCATTCCAACCAAGAAACACAAGTCTTAGGATAAAAAGATTGTGAAAGGAGAAAGGGGGAGAAAGAAGGTCTCTTCAATACCTCACTTAATACTCTTTTTGTAAAGGGGAGGCAATGGTCTAGCGGTATTGTCACTGGAGTATTAATTTCGAGACTCCGATGAGGACCTGAGTTCAAGTCTCACCACAGCAGATGACAGAATTTGAACTCAATGGGGGAAAAAAATCTGAATTAAGAGTCTAATGATGACCATGAATTGATTGTCAGGAAAAGTCCTGAAGGGAAGGTCAGGCCTACATCTGACTTCAGACCCACGGCAATATGGGTCACTCTTAAATTGCCCTCTGGGATGGGTAATAATAAATGCTCTAGCCTAGGCAGAAACACCCTCATACAATGAATGAATAGAAGGGAAAAAAAAAGGCATCAAATACTACTTGGCAAAGAGAAAACTGTTCCCAGCTACACACAAATATTACTTCCAAAACGATAAAACCTTTCTATATTCCAAATCTTTCATCTATATTTCCTTTAATACTCCTCGGATACTATCAGTAATGAATGACTTCAACACCTCAGACACTAATGTATGTTCAGAATTGTATTAATGCTATAAAGTGGCAATAAAGCAGTCAGGAGATGGAAGAATCTTTGACTCAAAAGTATTATAAATGCATTTACCCCACAGCCACTCCCACTCTTTCCCTTGCATGCAAACAAAAAAGCTTGCAGCATGATCAAACTCATTAATCAAATCAAGACAGATCATTTCAATTTTCCGTCTGTCCTGTTTGCACAGGTTCTACTGATTAAAAAATGCATTAATTTCAGAAAGTGGCAACAGTTGGCATCCATTGAACTAGATCAAAGAGACAGAAACATCAAATGCCATTAACATATGGTGATAGTATTTAATTTTCAACGAACATGTGGTGCAACATCTGATATCAGGAGGATTTTAACAAGACAACATTCATAAGAAAATTAAACTGTCAGCATCTCTTCCACCAGCAGGCGTACAATACTCCAGTTACTCAGTAGGGCATGGTTACCATAAAGGAATCAAGAATAGCTATCTCAACAGTGTTGAGGGCCTGACAATTTGTGGGTCCTGAGAACATTATTTCAGTCAGCGAAAAATGCCAGGCATGATTATATCAGCTTTTCAGACCAGCAGCACTCTGTATGTTAGACTGTAGGACTCCTACTACTAAGATAACTACGGTGATGGTGTGAGAAGAGCTACGAGGAAACTCCTAGCTATGATACTTCCAGCATCATCGGCCATCATAATCCCTTAAATAGCAATTGTGTACACAGCATCATGGTAATGATACATAATTGCTGTCCTTGTACAATCATCATGCAACTCAGAAACAGACATCAGGCAAGATCGAGGAGTAAAATAATTAGATTAAACGTAGAACAGCAGAGGTTTATAACACAGAAAGAGGTCATTGAACCTATGCCTTTTCTTTGCTTGAACTCTCCTAAACTAACTGCCCGGTTCTACTGTCTCCATATCTTTCTCGCCTCCAATGTTTATCTCAAAAGAATAAATCAGAGGTTGTCACAAAGGAATACAACAAGAACTTGTGGCTTAGAATTCAGTAAAATGCTGACCAACAAGGCCTTGAAACTGAATTGTTGACCACAGTGACAACAATATTCATCTTCAGATCATCTTACGACACATATCAGAAAAGATATTGGTGTACATATTTCCTTTTATTCATGCATGGGTGCCATGTGTTGCTGGCTGGGCAAGCATTTATTGCCCATCCCTAATTGCCTGGGAAGTTCTGAGGAAGGGTCACAGGACCTGAAATGTTAACTCTGACTTTTTTCTTCACAGGTGCTGCCAGACCTGCTGAGCTTTTCTAGCAACTTCTGTTTTTGTTCCTAATTGCCCCATGATCTTTGTGGTTTGCTAGGACCATTTCAATTAACCACATTGCTTTGGGCTAGGAATCACAAGGAGATCAGACCAGATCAGCTAAGGTTGGCCGATTTTCTTCCCGAATTGGCATTA